TTTTTTTTGGCTGTCCAGGGCGTTTCGTCTCGCCCAGGGCCGCCAGCCAAAAATACGAGCAGATTTTTTTTGGCCCTGAAGGGGCATCCGGTAGGGCCATAATTTATTTTTTTTGCCTGTGGGAAGTTTTCTTCCTTCTATGTTTCTGCCCGTTTGAATGTCGTCCTTGCATCGTGGCAGCTTCGTAGTGGGCACAGTCTTTGAATTCATCCTCCCGCCTCGCGAGTTCGACCGCCCCCCCTCCCACAACAACGTTTGAGCTTGCATGCCCCCCACTACCACCATTGTCAGAGGGAGGGCAACGAGGCAGCCATAGCAGGCAAGGAGCAGACGCGGAGAAGGCGCAGGAGAGCTGGCAGTGGGTGCAGCGAAGGCCACACGAGGAGCCCAGCAAGGAGCAGTGGAAGCAGCTCTCTCTCTCTCTCTCTCTCTCTCTCTCTCTCTCTCTCTCTCTCCCGTCATTTTGTTGTCATGGTCTTCCTCCTTTCTGCTCCTCCATCCGCCTCCTCCTCCTCCATGTCTGCGTCCTCCTCCCGCTCCTCCTCTTCCTCCTCGTCTTGGTCATCGTCATGTACTTGCTATAATCTCCCCCGCTCCCTTCCCTGCTCATGCCACGTGGCACCCTTTTTCCTTTTTTTTCTGAAACTTTGTCGTCATGTTCCTCGTCTTCATCCTCCTCCAGCTCCTCCCCGTCCACGTCTTTGCCCTCCTCCTGCTGCTCCTCCACGTCTTCGTCCTCCACCCCTCATCTTGGTTGTTGATATGTACTCACTATAACCTCCCCTCCCCGCCCCTACCTGTGCCACATGGCCTTTTCGTTGTTTTCAACCCATTTGCAGTACTTTGTATAGCAGGGTTTTTTTTTTTTTTTTTTTAAATCCGGACATGTACACCCATCCGGACAGGGATCCGGACAGGGATCCGGACATGTCCGGATTAACCGGAAAATACTGGAAATCCGGACGTTCGAATGAAACCAGGAAATCCGGTTTCCGATGTCCGGACTTGTCTGGTTCACTTGTCCGCCTACCATGCAACGAAGTCGACATCGTACTCACAAGGAGATCAAACCACAAGTAGAATAGAAATTGTAGGACACCATCAGACTAACTATTATTGGTTATTATTATTAATTTTTTATTTTTATTATTATTGTTATTATTATTATTACTACTATTTTGTTCACAAGGAGATCAAGCCACAAGTAGAATAGAAATTCTAGGGCACCATCAGCCTAATTACCGTTGGTCATTATTATTAATTTATTTTTTATTATTATTACTAATTTGCTATCTCAATTTATCAGTAATTTACTACCGCGACTTTAAATCTAATGCTGACGACATTCCGTGAATTGATTAACACTAACAAGGTCGAACACCGTGAGTAACGGGCTCAAATCCCTTAGCCGCAGCTCTCATTACCTCAATCTTGACAGACTGAGCACGTAGCGACAGCCAAAATACCGAGATAGGACAAATGCAGACAAAGTCTGGTTGTCTCTCTAATCCGTTCCGGCCCTCTGGCCAAACCAGCTTCCCCGCTGATACAACCTTCGTTCTCAGGTGGGGAGGATAAATGCTGTCCAGTTTCTAGCTGTCAAGTCCGGATTTTTGAGACCCTTGATTAATCGTATTCCGTGATTGGAAAGGTAAATAATTGCAAAGCACGCAGGTCATCGGATCTGATTAGGACCTCTGGGTGAACCTTCATCAACACAGGTACAATTTTCGCTCCCCAGGTGGGGAGGGTAAGTGCTACCCAATTTCCCACAGGCAAAACTTTGCTGAATTGCCGATCTGCAGAACCAAGCGTGACCGCCGTCTGATTGAAGTCATGCTGTACCACCCAATCCCTCTGATTTAAATCATGTTCCCCAGGTGGGGAGATCAAATGCTGCCCAATTTTTTGTGGCCCAAGCTTCCTCCGCTGTAAGAAGCTAACTCCAGTACATTGTCGGAACTCATTCTCGCCCGTCTCATAATGGCGGCCACATTCGCGGAAGTAGTCATGAAAGGATCAAGCGCAACCATCAAAGAAGATTCTCCACCACTCACAGCAGGAAAACCGGACCCGGGGATATCAACGGACTCACCACAATGACAAACACACTCAAACCCACAAAACTCACAATGCGACCACTCTGCAGCAACAGGCTCAAGTTCTCTGAGTCAGAGAGCGATAGACTTCCTCATCGCACGAACAAGAACCAAGGCAAACATAAACATCATAAAGGAAACTACCCACTCAGGACAGGGCGAAGAGCAAACAGTAGAAATCTGTGATTACCCAGAAGAGGACGAGCCGACCTGCAACGAAGTCTTTGAAAAACATGTTGTGTTATTCAATTTTCCCCAAAAATGTTCAGACATGTCCCCAAATGAAAAACGCACATGGGTACGTGACATCCTATGTTCACTGGAAGAAATCCCAGGAACTGAGCCGGACGTCACCTACCACAAACGAGCCAGGAAGTGGCAGGAACATTGTGATGATTGTAACTCCAAACAGAGCCTATGCACACTACCGCATACCCTGAACAACCTGAAATTCAAGAAGGGAGTAGTGACAGTCACAGGCTGGAAACCGAGAAGAGCGCCACAACCGGACGCATCACGTCACAGACAAAACATGCTGCAAAATAATTTTTGGGTTCAGTTTGACAACATTTCAGAGGGTCTACACAGTTTTGTCGAGAGAAGACTAGAGGAGGCATACCCAAACAACCCTGCTCTGGAATGATTCGCCTCAGGACCAGACTTTCTGGCTCCCAATCACGACTCTAGGATTGCTTGCCTACAAACAACCTCAGGTATTCCCCCGCAATTCACAAACTCTTAGCTGTTCAAAAAGAATGGACAAAAACTCACGATTTTTCTGTCCACCAAAACAAACCCCAGATGTTTCAAATGTAGGGCAAAGGGACATTCGGGCACAGACAGGAACTGCCCCCTCAACAGGGATAGAGCAGGCAAACCTGGTCAGATCCAAGCCAACCTGATGGAATGCGAGGAAAAAGTTGGATTGTGGTTCGTCAACGATCCCGCCTATAGAGGCTGCGTCTTCGACGACACACTTGACGCTCCCAAATGGGTCCGGGTCATGAAGGGTGAATTAACAGTCCAACCCGACATCTACCCCCCTCATGGGAGAAAATGGCAGAAGAAAGGCTCTAAAAGAATTGAAGATAAAGATGGAGGCTTTCTAAAGAGTGTGATGGAAGACAAGCAGCACAGAGATACCATGCATGAGCTTATAAAAACTGAAACTTCTGCAGAAAAGGCCTACGTTGAAAACCTGCATGCGAGAGGAAAGTTGTTGAGGGCCGAAAAAGAACAAGCAAGCCAACAGAAACAGGCAGGAAGACAGGCAAGGAACCCTCAAACAGAGCCAACAAAGCAACTCAAAAGAAAAACAGATCAAGCGGCTCCTTCCTCACCAGCAGGCCTTGTATCTACAAGCAGTCAACCACACAAGCTCAGATAACAAAACGGAAGCAGCAATGAATGAAAACGAAGCCCTAGGAAAGGACAAGAGCGGCGAGATAGTTGGGAGCACGAGTGAAATGGAAGAGGACAAGCCAGACAAAGATGTCAATCTCGGAGAACACTGAGGGAGAAGAAGAAGAAGACGAAGGAGAAGATGACATGATGTCACAAGGATCCAAGGCAGCCAGCTCCGGACCAGAGGGTGGATCAGAATCACTAGGAGGAGGAGGAGAAGAAGAGGAAGACAAAGAGGAAACTGATCTTCAGTGGTTGCAGGATTATGTCCAAGAATTGGAGAGGGTAAGGGAAATGGAATTCGAAATAAGAATAGCCCACAAAAAACACCTCTTCATCCGACAAAATATCAACCATGTTCAACAAACAACAATCAGCACTTTCCCCACTGAAAATCAGTTTGAGATCCTCGAGAAAGAGCAAGAATTGTCCAATTTCTTTGCAGAAAGATATGGACACAGAGTATCTGAATCCTCCCACCAAAGCGTCACTGCTAGTAATCCTGATACCTGGCCAAGGTCCTACTCAACAACAACCTTCAGAAGGCCAGCCAAAAAAGCAAAGGGATCCAAGGGCAAAACCCAAAGAATCACGATGGGCAGCTCAGGAGAGGAGACACAAGAAGGAGATGAAATCCAACTCAGCGCAAAAGAGGATTTAGACAGACAAACAGAAGTTCTTAAAGCACAAATCACAGTTCTCAAAGATCAGAACAGAGACACAACAGATGACACAGTCCATCTGCAAAGACTGGCTGCTGGTAAGAACACATAAATCTTCACTGCAACAAGACTAGAGGCTAAAGAGGACAACAAGAAAAGGATAGTGATTCCCTACAGATGGAACGAAACTCACAAGGACTGGGAAGTAGCTATCAATAAGGACTGGTCACTAATGGCACTAGCCAAACCTTCTGAGAAAGTGATGTCAGCTGAAGCGCCAGAGACCACCCCACCGGAGTCCCATATCCTTGGCCCCAGAGAGGAATGGAGGGAGGAGTGGCTCAGCCCATCAGGTGACATCATGACAAGTGAGTTGAGATTGTTCATGGCCCGGTACTTATTGGAGACCCAACTTTACGGCCACCTTACATGGAAACCATGGAAGGTGATGAGGGCTATATTCAGTATGGACTCATGGGAGGAGACGCCCCTATGGAAAGTGCTGCAATTGCAGCCTCAATAGTGGAAACACATACCTCTTCGAGGGAGAGGAAGAGCACCTGCAGGAAGTCCTGGCTGCAATGGCCCGCAAAACTAAGTCGCGCTAGAACCTGAAGACTGGTACCACCCTCAACTAACTCAACCACCAAAGTGCTTAACAAGCCATTCCCCGCATAACTGTCCATGGCATTACTAACGGCACAGTCCCAGCCACAGGTCTCACAAACTACCAAAAGATAACACCCTAAAAGCCAGTGAGCCTGAGTTATCAGTAATGTCGTGGAATGTCAATGGAATGGCCACAATCTTATCCAACACAGACAAATGGGACAACATGACCAGATATCTCAATTGGTTCACCAGGAACCCGCCAGACATAGTATGCCTTCACGAAACCCACCTAACGGACTCCTCCGAGCACGAAACAACAATTAAGAGAATCATAGCAAAAATAAAATATGTCCAGACCGCGTACTGGGCCACATCACCAAGAACAGGCTCATTTGGCACAACTATTCTCACGCATCAAAACTCGAGGGCAGCCAATTCACTTAAGGTTTCAGAAGTTAAAAAAGACAATCAAGAAGGCAAATGGATAGAATTACATATCACCTACAAAGAAGAAAGCTTTCAATTAATAAATGTATACGCCCCTAATGAACCTACGAAAAGACAAACCTTCATAGATAACACAGCAGCCAGATGTAACACCCAGAAACACCTCATATTGGTAGGGGACTGGAACACCACCCTAGACCTAGATAGAGAGAAAATCTCTTCCTCACAAACAGGAAGAGAAGACACGCTCCTCTCAGAGGCCCAAGTAATACACGCCCTAATGTTGGAGAAAGACCTAATAGAACTCCTACGAACAATACAACCCGAAGCACACAAATACACATAGAAAAAGAAAAACAGATCCCAACACATAATAAGTTCTGCAATAGACTACTTCCTCATTTCCCAGGCGCTTAGGGGCACAGTCCATAGCATATGACTAGGAAAACACCCCTACCACAATGGACTGGACCACACCCCCATCTATCTAAACCTCCTGTTAGATTCAGGATTACAGAAGGCACTAGTTTCTTTAAAATCAACAATTCACTACTCCACACAAAAGAAATGAAAGAGGCAATAGCCCATGCTTGCATAGATGCAGAAAGTGAGGGAACATATTTTCCGACATTAGTAGCTAAGCTGTCCCAAGCAGCCTCGTTAGCCTCTAGGAAATTAGCAACCAAAAGGGACCAAAGGATAAGGGAACTGGAAGCAGCAGTCAACCTCGCAAAAAGAAACCTCATAAGTAACCCAGGAGAAATAGCCTATGAAGAATTACTAGTGAGATCTACCGCAGAATTAGCCAAATGGAGCGCCTGGAAAGCAAAAGGCCTACAAATGAGAGCCCGGATCAAAGAATGGGAAGATGGTGAAAAAATGACCAAGTTTTTTTTTCCAAAAAATTAAAGCAAGTGCGAGGATCAGGGTCCTCGGTAGGCCTAAGGGGCCCTGTTTGCAGCATTGCCCGCCCTAAGTGAAGGCGGAGGTGCCCGCCCTAACTGAAGGCCGGCCTGACGTATTGCAGGAGGCCCTCGACTGTCAATTTCATATTTGGGGTCCAGGCAGTTGCGACGCGCCAGTTGGTTGAGAGAAACTCAGGCCGGGCCACAAAGACATTTCCACGGCCTTTCGGGCTTTTCCAAAGATTGCAGGTCCTGGGCGTGATTCGCAGCCTCATACAGAGACAGTTGGGCGCCCAACCGAACGAGGCCCAGCARCCCAGTAGCTGCTGTACACAGGCAGCCTCCTGGGGCCTTCCGGAAGCTTCTGGGCCCAAGCCAGGGCGGGCAGGCAGGGCAAGCAGGTCAGCTCTTTCCATAAAGGAAAGAGCTCTCCGCTGGCAGGGGCATTCGATCACTTGCTGGCTGGCGGCAGCGCTGCTGGAGCAATTGCTCGTGGGCTGGCTGCCGGCATTGGAGCAAGAGGCTGCGCACGTGCGGTCGTGTGTCGGAGCAGGGCGCTGCTGAGGGCAGCGCCATAGCCAGCCTCCATAGCGGGCTGGGCTTGGGTACACAGTGAGGCGCAGGGGTGGTCTTTGGGTGCAAGAGAGGACAGGTGTGGGTGTTAAGTCAGGGAAGGGCGAAGGATGATGATGATGATGATGTGAGGGCACTTACCTTGTATTGGCGATGGTCAACATATGGGTGACATCTTCAAGTACTTCGGGTTGCCGCCGATGTCAACAGTTGCATTGTTTATTATTAGGCTGATCGTAGCTGTGTAGGAGTAGGCTGGGCGCTGAGCGCCCAAGTAGGAGTGTGAAGGGACTGGACTCTTGTGTTGTTGAAGGAGAGAGAAAGCTCTCCATGACATTGGTTTTCAGTGCTACGAACCTCCATTGGTGTATTATTGGTGCAATGCTGCTCTCTGGACACAGTGTGACTATCTGGCTTTTAATGTGATGGTGTGATATGGATTTGTCATCTCGCTGTTGCTTATTTTCCTTGCAATTCGGTACCGAGCTGGTTCATATTGCGCTTCATTGGTTCTTCGCAATAGCTATTGGTGCTTCGCATGAGGTGTGGGGCAGTGATAAGGCATTGGCGTTGAACATNGAGCTGGTTCATATTGCGCTTCATTGGTTCTTCGCAATAGCTATTGGTGCTTCGCATGAGGTGTGGGGCAGTGATAAGGCATTGGCGTTGAACATTAGGCGGCCCAGGGTAGAGTGGGCACGCCAGGGAGCTATGTGGTGACATACGGGGGTGTATGCTGGATGATGAGAGCTCGCTGATGTGGCATATTAAACCGAGGTGGAACCACATTCTGCTGTTGGTTGTGCCGAGGCAAAGACCGGTCATCATAATTGCACATCAGGTTGCAGGTGAGAAATCTCTGGTTGGGGGCAGCATTTATGAGGTACATTGCTCTCTTCCTTACCTACCCTCGTCGTTACTTCTTACCGTGAGGAAGTGAGTTTTGTCTTGAGAGTCCTCTCGATGTGAGGTGTTGTGAGTGCTCAACCTTGAGAGTCGACATTCTTCCTGGGCAGCAAGCTGGTGGGAGACGGGCGAAGCCTCTGAAGGGCCCTGGACGAAGCACTCGGGTCACGGTCACCATGCCAACCCGCTGGGACTAGTACACGCATGCTTTGTCGCAAGTCCTTGGTTCTGCTGCTTGTGCAATAGAGGTCATGCAGGGCATGCCAGCCCTTTGACAAACGCTTACCATACCGTCTTTAAATATTTCTGGTTGGGGACTCAGAGTTGAATCTGGTTGTGATCGTCGTCCTGTCTGCGACGTTAAATAATTCCTGAGGAGATGGGGGCTCTCCTTAAATCCCTCCTGATCAGCCAGATCAACCGGGTGTAAGTCTCGTTGCATGCGAGGGTAAATAAAGTGCAGGGGCTGGCAGGTTCGGCGTTGACTTGGGGCACAGGGGTGGGCCGGATTGCACACCTTCAGACACGCTGCTCAACCAGATGCTCAGAACGTTGACACAAAGTGAACACTCAAGAAGGATACAGGGGGAGGGGGGGTTCCGGTAACTGTTCGCAGTGGCAATCAACAGACAATCTGCCATCAAGCATACATCTCCAACAGGAGATGTTATTTTTATTTTTGATTATCTAGTTGTTACAGACTTGACTAACAACTGACAGACARCTRCAGAYAKATTAGWTCTTTGYTGYATAGCAATCTGYTSTAGGGTAATCTAAAAATAGATATAATATTTCCTGTAGGATCTGACATTAGTTGTTGTTACATCACCTAACTGTTTCTGCTCAGGCCGACCGAAATCAGTTGTGTATTATACTCGGTTGTGTGTCAGGCTAAGGTAGGATTCAGTGTGGATTCTAGTTTAGATCACACACACTGTAGCTCATGAGTGATGCAAGCACAAGTGAGGAGTCGTCGTTAGTGGACGACTGTAGGACTACTCGTGGGACTGCTCGTAGTCAACCTTTGGCATTCTTGGAGTTAGGTCCAGGAGACGAGAGGAGATTGCGGAGAGAGGCTAGAGAGAGAGCAGCAGCAAGGAGAGTGAGGGTGGTTGAGGATAGTGCCAAGACTAGAACTATAGCTAGCACCGGTACAACCATGGCCACTTCATCTACCATGTCGCAAACCTCTTCACAGTCCACTTCGTCAAAAGTAAGCCAGAGTGGTTCTCAGGGGTCCGTTAGCCAGACTGTTGGCTTGCGAGTCAGCCAACAGACTCAACTCACGCCGGAGGATTGTGAAATCCTCCAAGCAGAAGAACTTCAAGATGAGTTACAGTGGCAATTAGATGAGGCAGCAGAGAGGAGAAGGAAAACAATCATGAGAAAAGCTAGACTAGGTAGTAGAAGAGAGGAGCTAGGCAGATTGGAAGGACTAGATGAGGCGGCATTAGACCCTGTTGTCCTTGTGATGTGTAATGCTTTACTGTCAGTGGCAGAAGCGCAAAATGTCGCAGGAATTGCTGGCCGAATTGGTAGCAGGCCATAAACAAATCCTGGCTGAACTTCGGGCTCCTCATACGATGATGAGGCAGCCACAGTTTGCTTTAGTTCCCCCTGCGGGTGCGGGTCCTTCATCGATGCCGCAACACACAGGGCCAACTTTCTCTCCTATGTTTGGCATACCCCCTCCAGGTGGTTTAGTAGCAACTAGTGGTCCGGTTCATAGAGTCTCAGCCGTGCTATCTACGACAGTGGTCACTACAGTCCCACTGTCAAGCCAGGCCCAGGTTAGCGTGCAACAGCCTGTTTCAGTGGCTATGCAGCCGCTGCAGCAAGCCCCTAGGCCCGTGCAGCCCACGCAACCTATGCAGTGGATGCCCAAGATACCCTTGCTAAGTCCTAAGCCCTTCTCTGGCGACAGGAAGAAGGATGAGGACTTGGATACCTGGGTAAGGACGGTGCCTACCTATGTGAGGCACAAGCTTACCAGGCCAGAGTAAGAAGTTGTAGTGGCTGCCTCCTTTTTAGAGGGGTCAGCAGCCCGCTGGTTGAATGGCTTAGTGCAGCAGCAGGGCTACGGTCAAAACTTCGATGCCTGGGCACAGGCCCAGTGGGCGAGTTCGTACGGTCCGTGTATAACAGGTGGCATGACCCGCAAGGGGCTCAAAAGGCCACCGACGCTATCAACAGTCTTTGTTCCCGCAGGTTCAAAAATGTTAGAGAGCTAACGGACACCGTAGAACGTTTACTCGTGGTACCTGGTGTGTGTTTTGACCAGCAGGTTCTCCTGACGGATTACCTAAGGTGCCTACTTGCAGAGGTAAAGACCAAGCTGGTTGATGAGGCCTATGTCGAACAGCACACCTTCGCCTTTTTCAGCAAAAAGCCATAGTCATAGAGGCTAAGTTGGGGTCTGCGCATCAGAGTTAGGGCGATGGTAGGAAGAAGAGACTACCCCAGGACTGGAAAAAGAAAGGTCAACTAATGTTCGTCGACCATGATGGTCAGGCGACAGAAATTGACGACTTCCCAGACCTTGGGGAGGAGACAGAGGGCTAGTGAGACTTCGGATGGGGGAGTCATGTCACCCATTAAGGAAAAGGCTAGGGGGACCAAGAAAAAGAAGGTAGTACGGTCCACGGGTCAGGGCGACCAAGGCACACCTGCCTGGGTGAAGATTGATTTAGATTACGAGGTGTGGAGGGACCGAGTTGCCAGGGGCACATTCATGAACTGTGGCAACTATGGCCACACGTCACGGACATGCCGAGGCAAAAGGTCACAATGAAGGTAGCATCACCAACAGTGGTGGGTCTATCTTCGAACCCTGGCAGTGCTTCTGCGAGCACTTCGCAGGGAAACTCCTCGGGCCAGTAGGAGTCTTAGCCGCTCTTACTCTCGCTGAAGTGGTTACGTTGCCTTCCCCACTTCAGGCGTTGGCCAAGGCTAGTGACCCATACATCGCCCCGCAGACACATTCAAACCCACCGACGCTCTGTTCGAGAGATGTGTCTGAGGCCCTAGAAGAGTTAGAGACTGAGTGGTTAGGGAAGGACCCCAGGGACTCTTGGGCGATGATAAGTAGAGGTCCAAAGGGTGAACATTTCGTGGTAGAGGTTGATGTAGGTGGCCGCAAGGTTGGCGCCTTCGCAGACATAGGCTCTACACGAAACTTCATCAGTCGTGCTTGTGTGGACAAACTGCGCTTAGGGGACCAAGTGCAGCGGCTTAGCAGAACTGTAGCTTCTACGCTGACCAACAAGCACCAAATGTTAGTAAAAGACTATGTCAAGGACGTAGTCTGCACCTTCTCCTATGGAGGAGGGGAAGTGAGCCATAAGATCTCCTTCCTGGTTAGCGACGAACTGCCCTTCGATATGCTCTTAGGCATGTACTACCTCGAGGTCGCGCAACCTCAGTTTGACTGGGATAGAAAGGTGTTGATCCACAAATTACCCAATGGTAGAACTGATAGATTGCATAAGTACAAAGCTAGCAGTCTGATAGAAAACTACGGGTGCATGTGTGCCTCATCTTTTTATTACTATAAGCAGAATCGCGAGGAGGGCATGTACTTAGTATTTGTCTCTGAGAAAGGGGAGGCCGTAAAAACACCCCCAGAGATAGAATCAGTCGTCGCTCAATATTCACACCTTTTTTAGGAGCCCACAGGCGTGGTAGAAAGGGAGGTTGTGCATGCAATAGAGGTTGTCCCAGGTAGTAAGGTACCTAGAGGACGAATCTATAGGATGTCTCCTACGGAGTTAGATGAGCTTCGCCGCCAGCTCAAGGAGCTCACAGAAAAGGGATGGATTCGGCCTAGTACCTCCCCTTACGACGCTCCAGTCCTATTCGTACCGAAGAAGGGAGGTAGCTTGAGGATGTGCATTGACTATAGGGGCCTCAATGCCATCACCGTTAAGAATGCGGAGCCCCTACCCCGCATCGACGACCTCTTGGGTAGAGTGCAGGGATGCCGGTACTTCACCAAGATAGATCTGAAGTCCGGATACCATTAAATTGCCATTAGGCCTGAGGATTAGCACAAAACCGCATTTCAGACCAAGTACGGTCTGTACGAGTTTGTGGTGATGTCCTTCGGACTATGCAATGCACTTGGTACGTTCCAGCACGCGATGAATAGGATTTTTCATGATTACTTGGACAAGTTTATCGTAGTGTACCTCGACGATATTCACATCTTTAGTAGGACTGTAGAGGAGCACGCTGAGCACTTGAAAACAGTGCTAAGTCTCCTAAGACAGCACCAGTACAAGGTTAACTTGGAGAAATGCGAGTTTGGTCACACCAAGATCTTGTACTTGGGTCATGAAATCTCAGCAGATGGACTGAGGCCGGATGATGCCAAGGTGGCCAGCATACGTGACTGGCCCAGACCTCGGACTGTTACTGAGGTCAGATCGTTTTTGGGGATGACAGGCTACTATTGTCCGTTTGTGAAGAACTACAGTACTATAGCTTCCCCATTAGCAGATCTAACTCGACTTGACACCCCTTGGGAGTGGACTGAAGAGTGTGAGGCGGCCTTTAGGAAACTGAAGTATGCCTTAACACACTATGAGGTTCTCAAACTTCCTGATCCTGATCAACACTTTGTCGTGACCACAGACACCAGCCAATATGGCATAGGCGCGGTCCTTGCGCACAAGGAGGGGAAAAAGTTGAGACCGATCGAGTACATGAGCAAAAAGATGCCATCCCAGAAACTGGCTAGGTCCACTTATAAGAGTGAGCTCTATGCCCTGTACAGAGCGCTGGTACATTGGAGACACTATCTCCTCGACAGATTCTTCTATGTGAGATCTGACCATGAAACCTTGCGCTAGATCAAGACACAGTCAGTCCTCTCTGACGCACTCAAGCGTTGGATTCAAGTGATAGACATGTATGACTATCAACTTGATCCAATCAAGGGAGAGTACAACAAAGTGGCTGATGCGTTATCTCGCCGGGCAGATTATCTGGGCGCGTTAGTTACATAATTTGGCATATCTAACGATCTAACTCGATCATTGGTGGATGCCTATCAGCAACATCCAGTTATGTCTGAGATCATCCGTAGATTCCAAGCAAAGGACAAAAAGACTTTGGACAAATTTACGATGATAAACGGCTTGCTGTTTCTTGAGAAGGCAGGGAATAAAAGGTTGTGTTCCCAGTAGTGAGTCGTTGCGCAGTTTATTTTTAGGAGAGTGCCATGATGCAACTGGTCATTTTGGCTACAAAAAGAGATCAGCGAACTTAGTACAAAGATTTTGGTGGTCCTCTATGATGCAAGATGCAAAACGATACGTTGAAACCTGCCAGGTTTGCCAAAGAGACAAACCAAGGACTCAGGCTCCGCTTGGGCTGATCAAGCCCTTGCCAATTCCTGAAGGACCAGGTCAGAGTGTGTCTATGGATTTCATGGACACCCTTGTGACCAGCAGGTCTGGAAAGAGGCACATCTTTGTTATAGTGGACCGTTTTACTAAGTACGCAAGACTGATCGCTATGCCAGAAACAGCTAAAACTGACTACGTCATCAAACTGTTTATGGATAATTGGGTACGTGATTTCGGTTTGCCTACGTCCATCGTTAGTGATAGGGATGTGAGATTCGCAAGTGAACTATGGCAGTCAACCGCTGAACAGATGGGCACCAAACTCCAAATGACCTCAGGGAATCACCCTGAGTCAAATGGCCAGGCAGAACAGATGAACCGGGTAGTACAGCACCTGCTTCGGCATTATATTAAGCCAAGTCAGGATGACTGGGACGAGAAGTTACCTCTCGTCGCCAGGCTGTACAACAATGTTGTGCACAGTACTACCGATATGACTCCCAACCACCTACATCTTGGTTGGAAGCCCAAAACTGCACTTGACTTTCTACTACCAGAAAGACAACCCACTACAACACCTGGCAGCATAGACTTTGCTGTTAAATATGAACAGATGCTGCAACAGGCCGTTGAACATATCAGAAAGTCTCAGGATGCTATGATCACATCTGAGAATAAACATAGACGGCCATCTAACTTTCAGGTAGGTGATAGAGTCTGGGTAAAGTCATCTGAACTAGGTCAAGAGATGGGGATATCAAGAAAACTGATGCCACAGTATTTTGGGCCCTGGGAGATCTTGGATATTGTAGGGGATCAACCAGATGGGCCTTCATACGTGATCCGTATTCCTGCACACCTACGCACTTACCCTGTGTTCCATGCTTCCAAGTTGGCACCTTTCGCTGCTACAGAGCAGTTTCCTTCAAGAAGATCAATGCTTCCCCCAACCATGGACGGCGAGGTGGACATCGATCAGATTGTGGAGCATCGAATGATGCCTGTTCCTCGACCATCAGGCAGAGGGCGCCCTCCTAAACCGAGAATGCAGTATCGTGTGAGCTTCAGACATCACCTCGATCCCAAGGAAGATCGTTGGTTCACACGAGAGGAACTCATGAGAACAACACCTCAAGTGATTGCAGGCTATGAAAGAGAACGAAAAGGGAAGATGCCTGCATAATAAGAGACTTCTCAGAGGACTAACGAAGTAAAGGAGGAGGGAATGCGAGGATCAGGGTCCTCGGTAGGCCTAAGGGGCTCTGTTTGCAACATTGCCCGCCCTAAGTGAAGGCGGAGGTGCCCGCCCTAAGTGAAGGCGGAGGTGCCCACCCTAAGTGAAGGCGGAGGTGCCCGCCCTAAGTGAAGGCGGGCCTAACATATCGCAAGAGGCCCTCGACTGTCAATTTCATATTTGGGGTCCAGGCAGTTGCGACGCGCCAGTTGGTTGAGAGAAACTCAGGCCGGGCCACAAAGACATTTC